GCAGTGAAGGATGCCACTCTGATGGGGATGAATGTCAATGCTCATCTATGTGCAACACATGGCCGTAAGCATCACTGAGATCACTACATAACAGTCTGTAGTAGATGCTTAGTTTTTGGTTTCTGGTCTAACCTTATTCTGGCTTAGAGGTTAGGAAGAATCAGGATGCCCAGGCAGGTCTGCCTCAATCCCAAGGGTAGGTAGTCATTGAGCTTATGTTACAGAGGACCATAGAGAGAGAGAGAAAGTCATAGGTGAGGCATGGCTACAGAGGGACATTGAGAAAACTTGGTGTGGTGGCAATCTTCCCTCTCTGTTCCTAACAAAATGAGGAGAAACAGTTTGAATCAAAGATGGTGAACATCTTTGAATGAGACAGGGTTTACCATTGAAGCTTTTCAAGATGAGTTTAATGTGAACTTTTTATATCAGTGGCCACTGCAGTGAGGAAATGGTGGCTTCTAGATGGATATGTGAGAGAAGTCATCTTATGATGAGCCTCAAACACTTAATACTCTCCTTGCCCCACTTACTTCCTCCTGGAGGCAGCAGGAATAGGTGCAGATTTTGTTCCAATATCTTTCCACACACTGCCCCAAAGTTACTCAGTGATGCTCCCCTCCCAGTTGAGAAAAGTGAGTCCTAGTGATGCTGGGTAGGTTGCTGTTTTGCACAGAGCCTGACTGGTTGGAACTGTTTAGATTCCTCTCAGAACACTGACACAGATAGGATGGCTAGGGTGGTGACTGCCTGGGTCTTTGTAGTCTCAGAGGTCAACTCCAGAACTCTCATTGACCAACCTTTTCTCCTCAGTTCTGCAGGTTCTGGTGGATATGTTCAGACAAAGCTCATCGTCACCATATGTGCATCCTGTGTCATCTAGGCAAGTGTTCAGTGAGCTGGGTCCAGGAAGCACATCACCTAGAAACAGACATGTTGGTGGAACCGCTTTTCCTTCTTGATCCTAGAGCCTGTTTATGGGACAGTAGCAGAGCAGCTATAACAAACCAGTCCATGAAATCAGGGCTTTCCAAGGAGACCCCACTGAGTTCTCCCTCAGGAAGGTCACATAGGAAGAAAAGGGACATTACTGTTGCCTCATTATGTCCTGAACTCCACCAGAAATAAACCAGCTATTTTCTGAAAGGCCACAGGTCTAGGGTGGGGAAGGAGTTCTCTGCTGGCCTCATCCTTGATCTAACATAAGCATTTTCTCATAGGTGCCTGGCCATATCCCTAGTCTTGGAACCCAAGAATTCCTGACCTGAGTATGTGCACACTTACCATGAGTGACATGGAGGGAAAAGAGCACCTCTCACCTCCCCTACTTTGCAGACTAGCATGGCATTGTCGGAGCTCCAGAGGAACTCAGAGATTCCACACAGCAACAGGAGGACATGCTGTGGAGGACAATGACATGGTTTCTCTTCCACCATCAACTACAGACAAGGACTCCAAGTTAACAACAAGAACTGTGGAATCTACAGGAGTGGTCCCTTATGACAGTCTCCCCGTAAGTACTTTCTGTTGAAGCCTTTCCCAACTTAGACCCCTTTGCATTTTGACAGTTTGGAAATTCACATATGCCTCTGTGTCTTCCCAGATAATCCAGAAAACCTGCCTGACCATGTAAAGAAATATCTCAGAGGAGCCTTGGGAATTAAATGTGCTTCCCATCCTGAATTGTTGAGTGGATACGTGAGAAGGGCAGTATCCATGGACCACCTGTCCCAGGCCTCCACTAACATGAAGAAGGAGAACTTGAGGTCATACCCTCGGCCATCTTTCACTGGTGTTAGACAGAGACAATTTTCAAACAAATACTGACGCACTTAATTAGAATAACAACATAATTTCTATAAATTGGCATTCAGAATGTTTGACCCCTGGAGGAGAGAAATCTGAAGAAATATGAGCTCTCAGGTTCTACCAGCTGTTATTCTGAAGGTAACAGATGTTTGCACTTCATCTATACACTCAGCAAAATCCAGTCTGATGCTCAAACATAAGATGTAAAAACTAACTGGATCTAAACCTACAAGAGAGGGCAGAGGACAGGAGAGATTCCTGCAGACCATCATCTTCTTCTTCCTGGACTTCCCACCAAGTCTCAAAGATCCACAAATGCTACAGGGAAGTAATGGAGACAGGACACATGGAACAGAACAGAAAGTTAGGTAACAGACCCAGTGAAATCCTGCCTGCTGATATTCTCATAGTCAACCAGGGAAATCAAGGCAGAGAGAGTGGCTTGTCCACAAATGACTGCAGAAGAAGATTTAAAAACAAGAATAAGGAACCCCTTTTAAAAACAAGAAACATGAGCTGGAGAAATGGCTCAGCCGATAAAGGCTAGACTCACAACTGAAAATAAAAACAAGAAACATGAACATAGTCACCATTTCAATTGACCCCAAATGCAAACACTATAATGCTCACATAAACTTATAGAAGAGGACTATAAGTTCCTGCCTTATAGGAAGGAGGAAGGAGAAAAACAGATGAACTGCGGACTCAGGAGCCCTGCTGCCAACAGCCATGAATATGCAGAGGCAGGAGCATGGCTGGAGAAGGACACTCCCCAGGACCTCTAGAAAGCCCTTGACCCCTGACACACCCCAGAGGACAACAAATCTCTGCCAGTGAATGCTCTGTGTCTGTGAGGAGGTGGAGGCGTTGTGTGTGCTGTGTGGTGGACTAGTGCTGAAACCTGTGCCATTGTGTGGGATGGAGATGAGCTGTCCAGCGGATCTGAGAACAGCACTGTATGGATGGCCCAGTCAGCTGGAAAAGCAGCAGTGCTGACACCTAGATACTCA